CCCCACTTCCCATCCAGCTCCCTGCTTGTGGCCTGGGAAAGCAGTCAAGGACGGCCCAAAGCCTTAGGACCCTGCACCCAAGTGACAGACCAGGAAGAAGCTCCTGGCTTCAGATCGGGAGTGAACCAGCGAAAGTAAGATCTTTCTGTCCCTCCTGCTTTCTGTATATCTGCCTTTCCAATAAAAATATATCTTTTAATAAAAGAAACATGGGGGGGTTGTGACACGCAGGACACCAGATGACAAAGGGAACAACATCAGAGCACGACAGGAAACCCACGGCGCAGGAGGTGGTGCAGCATCCCCGCTCTCAGGCACGCAAGGACTCCCACCCTGACATGGGCTGACTTCAGCCTGCGCCAGAGCAGAGCCACCCACCCAGCTCCCTGCTGACGCGGGGAAAGCAGCAGAGGACGGCCAAGGGCTCCAGCCGGCACCCACATGGCAGACCCTGACGAGGCTCCTGGTTCCTGGCTTCAGATCAGCTCAGCTTCAGCCATGCGGCCATTTGAGGCACGAGCCAGCGGACAGAGATCTCTCTCTCTGAGACTCCAGGATGTCCAGGCACAGAGAAGAGAGAACCCTGGGGCCAGAAAGAGGGTCATGGACCCAGGACACAGCCCTCGGCACCAACGAGACATGCGGGGTATGACTTCAGGTCAAAGTGAGATGCGAGTCCCACCATCGAGGGTGGCGTGTCTGCCCATCCCCAGCACCTCTGGCCGCGGTGACGACCCACACATTAGCAGCACATCAGAGAAGTCTCTAAGGACTCTAACCACCTGGTAATCCCAGCTGGCACAGGTGGGTCCAGCCCAGCAGGGGCCACCGAGTCCCTATCCACATGGTCCTGACCAGCACACAGACCTGGTTCTGCCCTCAAGCCAGGCCAAAGCAGGGTCTGAAAGGTGGAAGCATGCCAGGCCTCCTGCAGCCCAGACTAGGGGCAAGCTCACATCTCCCCTGCCACTGTGCCCAGCGCCTCGGTCACCGCAGGGCAGCTCAGCTCCAGGAGCGTCAGCACCGTGGCGCAGCAGGCTGAGCCAGCCCCTGCAGCACACACATTCCACACACATTCCACGTGGGATACCCAATCCAAACACACCTGAGCAAGTGGCAGGAGATGGCCCGACATGGGGGATCGGGATGAGCGCCTGGCTGCCGCCTGGCCAGGCCTGGCCACTGCAGCTGTGTAAGAATACCAGAGACCTCCCCTCTTCCTCTCCCCGCCCTCCGGCCGAGTGAGGATGCGGCCACAGGGGCCGTCTCGCACCAGCGCCCTGTGCACCTGCGTGCCAGGGGGCCAGTACGAGCACCACATCCCCAGGACTGCCGCCCAGCAGGCCCAGGAGCACATTCACTGAGACAGGGCACTGAGAACCACAGTGGGCCCACCAAGTGTCAGACTGCGGCAGAGGGAGGGGGAGGGCTCCAGGGCAGGGCAGGCTAAGCTTCTGCCTGTGGCACTGGCATCTCATACAGGTGCCAGTTCACATCCGCTGCTCCACTTCCAATCCAGCTCCCTGCTGACAGCCCGGGAAAGCCTTGCAGCCTTCACCTACACGGGAGACCTGGAAGATGCCCCTGGCTCCTGGCTTCAGATTAGGCCAACTATGGCTATTGCAGCCATTTGAGGAGTGAACCAGTGGATGGAAGACCTTCTTTCTTGGGCTGTCTTTCCTGCTAACTCTTTCAAATAAAAATAAAAGAATCCTTTAAAAAAAAAAAGGAGGAAGGAGGGAGGGGAGGAAGGAGAGAGAGGGGAAGGAGGGAGGGAGGAGAGAGGAGGGCGGAGCAAGGACTGAAGGCAGGCAGGCCGCCTAGACTGCAAGGTTGGTCCTCCAGAGCCTGAGGAGGGCGGGGCGGCAGCCAAGTGCAGGGGCGGCCCAGGGTTGTCCCACTCCCCAGCTGTGACTCGGCCTCTCTCCGGCATGAAACTTTACACCAGTGAAACCCGAGGCCTGAGGCCCAGCCTGGCCTCTCAGGGCAGCAGCTGCTGAGCCCTGGTCAGTATCAGACGGTGCGCCCCGCCAGAGCGGACCTGCCAGACCCGCTCCCTGACCCCGCCCGGGCCGTATTCCTGGGTGGAGGCAGTAACTCTGAGGTTCAAATATTGGATGAGAATTTTCTGGAAGCAGTGGGGAAGTCTTTCAACCATCCCTGTCCAAGGGAGAGCACGTCCACGTGCAGCCCACCCTGCTGTCCACATCACCCATCAAGTAGCAAGGACCACAAACATGGCCCCTCACAGCACTGGCAGTCACAGGCAAATGGCCATGCCATGAGGCTGAGTCCCTGCCAAGTCCCACAGGCCATGCTGGGTTGGGATGCCTCCCATGCCTGCCTGGTCTGTGGATTCCCAGGGGCAAGAACTGCCCCCCACTGCCGTCCCCAGTACAATGCAGGTGGGAGAGCTGGCTGGCCTCTGTGGTCCATGCAAGGCCCAGCCCAGGCCTCCATATCCTCGACAGTGGGACAGACACAGGGAACGAGGCCCTGCCACCCTGCACAGATGCAGCCCCTCCTACAAGAAGGCGACCCTGTGTCGGGAGGAGGGTTTCTGGCCGGCCCCCACACCAAGTAGGATGTACGCGGGGCCTGCAGCCGGGAGCAGCCCAGGCAGTGCCTTGGCCTCAGAGTCCTACCCCTAGGCGGGGTGACGCATGCACACACACGCTTAGAGAGTCAGCAAGACCAGGCCAGCCGCAGGCTCCCCAGAAGGGCATCCCACCGACGGGACGGCGCACATCTGAGGGACCACGGGGGTCGGGGGTCGGGGGTCAGGCCCAGAGGCAGCTCTGCCGCGTCCCTGGCACTGGTACCTGCCTGCAGCCCTCAGAGCTGTGGACTCCGCCCACCCATAGGTCAGTGTCCACAGCCCAAGGTCACCTCGCCAGACTGAGGCATCCAGACTGCCTGAAGTGTGACCTGGCTCGGACAGGTCAGGCTGCCCGGGGACACTGCTGGGGCCTCCTTCTGGGCACTGCAATGCCGGCAGCCATGACACCAGGTGCTCTGCTGAGCGGCTTGCCCCAAGCCTCCGTCAGTCCCTCCAACTCCCCAGCTTAGGGCAAGGCCGCAGCACCCCACAAACGGCTCCCCCCATGGGCTACTTTAAGGAGAACAATCTGGAACTTGGCTCCCTCCACCCTTGGCCCTGCTCAGAAAAGCACAGCCAATGAACACCAGGCAGGAAACGCAGCTGGAGGCCGGGTTCCCTAACAGGACCCACATGGGCAGGGTGGCTGACACCCACAGCTGGCCTCAGGGCCGGGGGGTGTGGGGAGCTGCAAGCTTAGCTGGGTGCCGCAGAGGTCGTGAGAAACCCTTGCACTCCCCCGCGGAGGTCCTCTGGTCCTCTGGGAGCCCCAGCGCGTCCCCCAGCTCCCACAGCCACGTGCAGCGCATTTGTCAGTCGGCCAGTATGCCAACACTGGGGGACTTGGGGGAGCAGCACTCCATGGCACCGGCTGCCCAGGCCTTGGCAGACAGAGGCCAGCTAACATCCTACCCTCAAACCTCCTGCCCTTGGACCACACAGCCTCGGGGGGCCCAGCTGGCCACCGCGATGCTAACTTTCACAGGGACTATGACGGCCCAAGTCCAGCCAGCTGGGCTGCAGGGGCCCCCAACAGCCCCCACCCGAGCCCTTTCCACAGCACATGATGTTGGAACACACCAGGTAGGCCGCTTCTGTCTGGCCACCCGTCGCCATCCCTTTTGCCCGCGAGAAGAGGGACGCTCCCATTTTCCAAGCATTAAGGAAGATGGCCGAGTCCACGCGCACACAGCTCGCACGCTGCCACAGCTGCACCAGCGCAGCCTATGCGGTCCCCACCTCCGGACAGGCTGTTCCTGCCGGGAGGACCCGAGCTCGGTGCCCCAGAGTCCAACTCTAGGGGCCGTGGGGAAGCAAGAAGTCAGCAGCACACTCCACCCAGTTCCCATCTCGCCGGCCCACCTCGCAACCCAGATGCTATTGACTGAAACAGCTGCCAAATCGGAAGGCGACCAAAGCGCCCCGAGCGGCTTGTATGCAGACTTACTCCAACACAACGCCTTCTGGCCACCGGACGCCCGCAAACTCGGCTTTCAAAGTCCTTCCCTTACCATTTTATCCCCCAACCAAGTGTCGTGCTGAGCCGCCTGGAGGTCAGGCGCCAGGAGGGACAACCAAACCCGTCTAGCTGATTCCCTGTGCTTCTGTTTGGGTTTCCAACCCCCCCGCACCGTGCAGACTGGCAAACAATCGTTTTAAAACCTTCAGGCTAAGATATTAGTGCAGGACTGTCCCCCACTTCCACCTGCCCTTGGAACGGCTCGTGGGCGGGGAGTGGGGTGGGGGGGCCGAAAACAAACTTGAATTGGCTCGCAGAGCCGCCTGGGTCAGGCCGCGGGGACCACCCGGGGCGAGAGGGCGGTGTCCGCGGGGCAAGGGCGTGTGCCCAAGCCCGGGCACCGAATGGAGCTGGCCGTGAAACAGCCAGCATCCCACGCAAGCCTCTGACGGACCGGGGCTCAGAGGAGCCCACCACCACCACCACCCCGGGGCCCGCACTCGGCGGGAGGCCCCCGCGCGGGGACCAAGACAATCAGCGCGGCCCAGCCCCGGCCCGGCCCGCGCGCCCCGTGACTGCGGCCGTGAAAACCGCACGCCGCGGTGGCCCAGACAAAGCCGCCTGCGGCAGCGGCGCGGGGCCGCGGCCAGCCTCTCTCCTACCCCCGAGGCAGGTCAAGCGGAGCGGGGCCGCAGCCAGCCACCTCCCCCGACCCCAAGACTCCCCGCACCCCGCGACGCAGCGGCACAGACCGCGGCTCCCACGGCGCACGGAACGCCCGCGTCTCCGCCGCCCCGCACACAATGGCACCCCCCGCGCCCGCCCACCCGGTCCGCGCACAAAGGAGGACGCGCGGGCCCCGGGAGCCGGCGCGCGCCAGGTGCTCCCGCGCGCATCCCGGGCGGCCGGGCCGAGGCGGGGGGCGCGGGCGGCGGCGCTTACTTTCTCAATGGTGCCGGGCAGCAGGCGTTCCAGCAGCCGGCAGAGGACCACCCCATCCTTGAGCGACGCCTGCAGAAAGCCCTCGGGGTCCGAGATGGTTTTCTTGGGCGACTCCAGCACGCCCAGGGTGATGAGCCACGTAACGGTCTGCTCCGCGGAATTCATCGCTGCGGCGCTCGGCAGGGCGCGCGGGGCGGGGGGCGGGGGGCGCCGTGCGCGCCTTCTCCTCGGAGCGGCGGCCCGGCCCGCGGCCGCCCCCGCCCCCGCCGCCTCCGCGCCCAGGGAGCCCGCGCGCGGCCCCGCGGGTCCCGCTCGCCTCGCCTCCCCACCCCAGCCCCGCGCGCGCGCGCGCCGCCCCCGCCGCCGCCCCCCGGCCGCCGGCGCCGGATGACATCACCGCCGGGAGAAGAAAGACGCGGCTGCCCGCGCCGCCTTGCGCCCTGCGCCCCCTCCACGGGCGCGCGGGCCGGGCGCCGGGGCGGCGGGCAAGCAGACGCACGAATCGCGGGGCCCGAGCGAGCGAGCGAGCGGGGCTGGGCGCCTTGGGCGAGGGCGGCGGGGCCTGGCCTCCACGCGCCCACCTGCGCAGCCCCGCGCGCCCCGGCCTGCCTCGGGGACCCGCAGCACTGGCCGGTCATCACAGTTTCGCTTGCAGAATGCGCTTTTCATGTTTGCCAAGCTCGCTTTCGAAGCCAGTCGCTGCCGCCACCCGCACCCTCGGCCTCGCCCGCCCGCGGTGATGGCCCACAAATGCTCGGGATTAGTGCGAATCGATTTTTTTTTCCTCCCTGCGGCGGCGCCGAGCTCCGGGTTCTTGACCCCGGCGTGGCTCCGCTCGCCAAGGCCGGGACAAGGTCGAGAGGACGGCACGTGCCAAGGCAGGGGGCACCGGGGCTGGGGCTCTCGGAGGGGCGAGGCGCGCGCGGGGAGGCGGGGGTCCTGTGGTGAAGCCACGTCCTCCACACCTGCCTGCGTTCCTGGAGCAGGTGCTCACCAAGGGACTTGCGGGAAGGACGAGGGATGGGTGCGTTGCATGCAGCTGCCTGGCCCCCACCCAGGCTGGCTAATGACGCTAATTACCCCGGGATGAAGGCGAGAAGGCCTGGGGGGGCGTGCCTCTCACAGTGGCAGGGGGGTCCCTTCTCTTCCTCCACCTTCTTCCGGGCTGTGCCAGTTAAAACCCGCTTACAGGGTTACATTTCTTACTCTCTTTTTAAAAAAGATTTATTTTATTTCTGTTGGAAAGTCAGATACACAGAGTGAAGGAGAGACAGAGAGGAAGATCTTCCATCCGATGGTTCACTCCCTGAGCAGCTGCAATGGCTGGAGCTGAGCCGATCCCAAGCCAAGAGCCAAGAGCTCTTCCGGGTCTCCCACGCGGGTGCAGGGTCCCAAGGCTTTGGGCCGTCCTCTACTGCTTTCCCAGGCCACAAGCAGGGAGCTGGATGGGAAGTGGAGCTGGATGGGAATAGAACCGGCGCCCCTGTGGGATCCCAGCACTGAAGGCAGAGACTTTAGCCGCTAGGCCACCACACTCGGTCCTGCGTGGGTTGTTTTTGTTGTTGTTGTTTTGTTTTGTTTTTTAACAAATACAGACCAGCTGTTGCGATTGGTGCCCATGTCTGTCATGGTGACAGTTGCATTTAGGGTGCTGGCCCAAATGCCATGAGTGGTGACTCACTGCCCCCCGTGTCACAGCCGGACAAGCATAGGACATGGCATAGGCGTGCGGACACACACACACCCCTGCTCTCCATGGCTAGCACACTGACCCATTTCTGTGCCAGTCAGCGGTGGTACAGGCTGCCCCGTCACTCTGTCCATGGGAGGCGTGTCTTGTCTTCCCAGGAGGGGCTGGAGGAGCTCAAGAAAGGATTGCAAGTGATTTCAGACACGCCCTAGTCCACTCTGACCTCGTTCACCCAGGCCCTTCCCGTGTGCTGCATTCCCGCGCACCGTGGCTGGCTGTGGGAAGGTAGCGCGCCAATCTTCTGCCCGCCTATGGCACAGGCCCACTTCCAGTCCAGTCCCCGCGAATGACGTGGGAAAGCAGCAGCAGGCCGTGCACGTGCTCAGGCCCCCTAGCTTCACACCGGCTCAGCTCCAGCGCCTGTGGCCTTTTGGAAGGAATATCTTTCTGTCTCTCCTTCTCTCTCTGAAATATTTCAAGTAAATAAATTTTTTTAAAAGATTCAAAAACACAACGGCCCTGCAAAAAAAATGCCGTCCCTTGGCCGCGGCCTTGGAAGCCCAGTGAACGCGGGAGCCTGCTGTCTCTGAACGGAGGCCCAAGCCCGTGGCCCCTCGTGGCTCCGTCGGCCGCGTCCCCGAGCCGCTCACTGCTTGCCCGTTATTTTTCTTCAGGGTACAGTTCCGTAAAGTATGAAGAAGATTCCGGAAGGTCACACGGTGCAGACGGTGTGGCGTGCTTGGGTGGAGCCTGCTTTTATATCCAAGACGATTGTTTGGGTAAACTTCCTGAAATACCTCGGGTGCAGGCACTGCCAGGGACCCGGAAGGGGCAGTGAGGAGGGCGGGGAGGAAATGGGGGAAGGAAGAAAGCGGCTCCGTAGCCTGGGAGCCCCTGAGGAGCTGAGTGGACAGCAGGCCCCAGCACCTTGCAGCCGCCCTGTCTGCTGTGACGCGGGGCCTCCGGCAGGACAGTGCCCTGGGCAGGACACAGCGCCTGGCAGCCGCCCTGCCTGCTGTGACGCAGGGCCTCCAGCAGTGCCCTGGGCAGGCCCCAGCACCTTGCAGCCGCCCTGTCTGCTGTGACGCGGGGCCTCTGGCAGGACAGTGCCCTGGGCAGGACACAGCGCCTGGCAGCCACCTGACCTGCTGTGACGCGGGGCCTCCAGCAGTGCCCTGGGCAGGACACAGCACCTGGCAGCCGCCCTGCCTGCTGTGACGCGGGGCCTCCGGCAGGACAGTGCCCTGGGCAGGACACAGCGCCTGGCAGCCGCCCTGCCTGCTGTGACGCGGGGCCTCCGGCAGGACAGTGCCCTGGGCAGGACACAGCGCCTGGCAGCCGCCCTGCCTGCTGTGACGCGGGGCCTCCAGCAGTGCCCTGGGCAGGACACAGTGCCTGGCAGCCGCCCTGCCTACTGTGACGCGGGGCCTCCAGCAGTGCCCTGGGCAGGCCCCAGCGCCTGGCAGTTCAGTGCAGGAGCAGAGGAGACAGTCGCCGCCCCATGTGGCATCTGTGGGTATGTTTTGTGTGCTGGATAAGTTCTGTAGCGGACAGGGAACTGTGAGTGTCGTAACAAAGGCTTGCACAAGGGAACTGTGAGTGTCGTAACAAAGGCTTGCACACTGAGTGGCTGAACCATGGGAGCCAGCCTCTGGTCGTTTGGGGGGCACCCGGCAGGGAGGGCGGCCTCAAGGCAGGGGCAGAGCTGCTTCCTCCGATCCCTCTTCCTGGGGGGGGCTGCTGCCCCCGGCAAACATTACCAGGACAAACCCTTCCATCTCCTGGCGGCTTTCTGCCCCGGTAGCTGCATCCGGCCCTCCCTCCCATAGGAACACCGGCTGCTGGGCCTGTGCCCACCCGACCCACTGCAGGGTGAACTCCAGAGAGGTCACACTGGCATATGCCAGGAGTGACACCTGTCTTCAGGACAGACACCCACCCTGCTCCACCCACCAGTGCCCTTTGCAGGGGGAGGGGAGGCTGCCAGGATCTCCCTGGGAAGCACATGTCTGCATTAGTTCCCGCCAAGGGGCTCAGCTTCGCGAGAGGCCAGCGGCTTTCTCAAGTCCTGTGTCCCCTGAAAATCGCCCTTCTCCAGGTCCCTGTGGGGGAGGGGCCTTGGGGGGCTTCTCCACCAGCCCTGCCATCCCTCCTCGTCCCAGCAGGGCCACGGGTCATTGGCTCACCACCATCTTCCTGAGGGCATTTTGCTGCCAAGACCCATGGCATCCTTGCCCCTGGCAGAGGGTGGACACCCCTCCTGACAGACCTGTCGGATAACGGCGGAGCCACTTGGCTGGCACTTCCCTTGAGAGCTCAGGGCCCCAGAGTCAGCTGGGCAGAGAGCCAGCAGGTGCGCCTCAGCTGTCCCCAACCTCAGGAGCTGGAGGTGACCTGGAGGTGACCTGGAGGTGACCTGGAGGTGCTGTGGCTGCTGGGTGGTGGCGGCCAGGCCTGGGCTCTTGGACTCAGGCGTCTCCTGGCTTCCGCCCGCCCCCGCTCCTGCCCCCATTTCTTCCTCCTTTCCTCTGTGTGGGCTCTCCCCGGCTCCAGGAGAGTTACTGGAGGACTCTGTTTTGGATGGCTCCCAAGGGGGTTGTTATTTCCGTTGTGAGGACTTCCCCATGAGCCAGCCTTTATCTAGGAGGTGTTTGTGAATACCGAGAGACAACCTTGGCCTTCGCTGGTGCTGCAGCACGAGTTCGGCATCTCTGAACTGCGCCAACACTCCCAGCGCTCCAAGGACACGCCACGGAGCGCGTGTGCTGTGGCCAAGATGTCAACCAAAACTGAAAGCTTTGAGGTTTTCAAAGATTTGTTTTGAAAGAGTTTGAGAGAGAGAGAGATCTTCCATCTGCTAGTTCACTCCCCAAACGGCTACAACACTCAGCTCTAGGCCAGGCCGAAGCCAGGAGATTCATCCGGGTCTCCCACGCGAGTGCAGGGTCCCAAGGCTTTGGGCCGTCCTCTGCGACTTGCCCAGGGCACAGGCAGGGAGCTGGATGGGAAGCAGAGCTGCCGGGACTAGAAGCAGCGCTCTGAGACACTTTGCTGTTGTGGCAGACAGCAGCTGTGTCAGCCATGGCGTTGCACCAGCCCCCACCCTCACACTCTACACCCTTTCTCCCCACCTCATGGCTATTGGGTGAGTCTGTTCTCAAAGCACACATCTTAAAACTTACTCCTGGGCCCAGCGCGGTGGCCTAGTGGCTAAAGTCCTCGCCTTTAGCGCCGGGATCCTGTATGGGTGCCGGTTCTATTCCCGGCAGCTTCACTTCCTGTCCAGCTTCCCTTGTGACCTGGGAAAGCAGTGGAGGACGGCCCAAAGCCTTGGGACCCTGTACCCCACATTGGAGACCCGGGAGAAGCTCCTGGCTTGGGATCAACTCAGCTGCAGCTATTGCAGCCACCTGGGGAATGAACCAGCAGATGGAAGATCTTCCTCTCTGTCTCTCCTCCTCTCTGTATATCTGACTTT